GTTGAAGTTTAATAAGGTCAAATGCAAAGAAATAAGTGCACTGTAAACATGTCGGCTGCGTCTAGACTGGCATGATTTTGCAGAAATACTTTTAACGGAAAAGTTTTTCCGTTAAAAGTATTTCCGCAAAAGACTGTTGCAAAAAATGCGAACATGATTTTAGGATGCATTAACAGGAGTGTTGTGAGGAAGACATGAGAAGTCATTCTTCCTCTCTACTCTGCGCTGATTAGGCCTCAATTAGGAGTATTGTGTCCAGGTCTGGGCACTGCATTTTAAGAAAGATGTGGAAAAATTGGAGAAGGTCCAGAGAAGAGCAACAAAAATGATTAAAAATCTAGAAAACATGATCTGTGAGGGAACACTGTAAGAACTGGATTTTAGTTTTAAAAAGATACAACCGAGAGGGGACATGATAGCGGTTTTTCAAGTAACTTAGAGTGTTACAAGGAGGAGGGAGAAAAATTGCTCTCCTTAGCTTCTGATAATAGGACAAGAATCAATGGGGCTTAAATTGCAGCAAGGGAGGTTTAGGTTGGATATTAGGAAAAGCTTCCTGCCTGTCAGGGTGGAATAAATTGCCTAGGAAGGTTGTAGAATGTCCATCACTGGAGATATATTTCAGAGCAAGTTGTATAAACATCTGTCAGGGATGATGTAGATTCTAGACCGTGCTTGGTCATGCCGTGAGGGCAGGGGACTGGACTTGATGACCTCTTGAGGTCCCTTCTAGTTCTAGTATTCTACGATTCTGTGATATATACACACACAAGTACTAACTACTAAGGGATGATGCATTTAACTCGATTTAGTCTAACTGCTAACAAATAGGGATACACAACTGAACAGTACAAACCTGTCTGTTTCTTTTCAGGACACTTCATCTGGAGGCCCTGCTCGCTCTTATCCAGTTGGTGGACTTTGCTATTATCTGTCACCCCCTGAATCCTTTGGTTCAGTGTTAGAAGATCCTGTCCATGCAGTTGTTTATATTGTGTTTATGCTGGGCTCCTGTGCTTTCTTCTCCAAGACATGGATTGAAGTCTCTGGCTCCTCTGCCAAAGATGTAAGTTAGAGAAATAGATTTACAGGATAAAACCAGGAGGTTTATTCTGCAGTAATTACTATTTGAGCAGTAATATTCTGAAATGGACAATATAGCCTGGTGCCAGATTTCCTTTTTAGTAAAACCACCACTTATATGGAGTACCTTTTTGTCTGTGGATTACAAAGCCCATAAAGGTGGTAAGCATTTCCACTCCCATTTTACAGAGGGGAAAACAGGCAGAGTACCAGGGTCTCCTGATTCCCATTTGGTGCTCACTCAATCACATGGCCTTTTCCAGTCCCTTCTAGAAAACCCTGGGTGGGTGACATAGCATTAGAGATGCCGGAGATGCATGAATATCACTTGAGTAGCATAGAAAGAAACAGAACAATATGAAAGAAAAACTTTGTCGCTTAATAAGGAGCACAGCACATAGCCTGGAGCATTACATTTGGAGCCTAGCGGTCAGATGACAGCTGAACTGTGTGAGGGTAACCTGCACACAGTACTTTAACATGTCTGTGCCTGGAAAAAACAAGCTCTCATGGGCTGTCTGTGGAGATTCATAACTGTAAGTGGCTGTTTCACACTTGCTTAATTGGAGATGTCAAAAATAGTTCAGTGTATACACATATCAGTATCTGGCTCTTCAGTCATTCAGATGTGTAACACTCATGAACAAAATGTTTCATTTCGGGATGTGAATGTTAACTGGTAAGCCTCACCCTTACTGGTTAAGGTTAACCAGTGGGGGCTGGAGCAGCACCCTGCCTGCTGTGAGCAGGGGCTGCTTTAGCCCCACGGGGAGCAGGCACTGCTGTAAAAGAGACCTGCCCAGAGCAGACACTGTCTGGCAGGCTCAGGCACCTTAAAGGCAGGAACTTCTCTGGTGTGCAGAGTAGCCCCTGCCTGCGACTCCTCCACCCCTTCTCCTTTAATCAGTTAAACAACATGTTTGACCAGTTAACCAATTAAATGCAATATTACATCTCTAGTTTCATTCTTAAATCACATTGCTTGTAGCTATTGGAGAGGGTAAAATGGCTGATAGTATGGCAGGTTTTAGTTAGGAAGAAATAGGTTTTGCAGCCATGGGGAGTTATTAAAGAAATCGAGTACCAAACAATGAGCATTTGAGATTGCATTTGGCTGCTTGCTGCCAAATGTGGCTGAGTTCGTATCTGGAGTTCTGTACAGATCTTCGCTGGGTTTTACTTGTGTGTTGCTTGTAGAATAGTGGAATAAGGCACTATTAAACTTACACTTAATAATTGGAAAAAGCTTCACTTCATTTCTCTCCCCCCCCCCCATTTCTTGGAAGATAGCTGGCAGGTAACCACAGAAATACCATGCTTTTAATTCCAGGTAGCTGTGAAATTAACCTAAAAAAGTGAAACTAAATTTCTTTATTGAATTTCTTGGCTCAATACAGGTTGCCAAACAACTAAAAGAACAACAGATGGTAATGAGGGGCCATAGAGAAACTTCCATGGTCCATGAACTAAACAGGTGAGCTACAAATATGTGGTTAATTGTACTAAGTGTCGTGGAATATATTGCTATTCATATAGTATCAGTACTAAAATAAGCAGTGTCTTCAGAAGATCAGAACTGGGTTGTTCTTTCAAGCACAGTGCTAATGTGAGATGCTAGCCTACTGAGTAAAGTCATATCTACTCAAGGCTGGGCCTGTCAGCAGTCCAATGTATTTCTACCTTTATATCTGAAGGATTTAGTTCAGCGCTCTCTCTGGTGCTGTAAGTTCTGGGTTCAGTCCTTGCTAAGAACTATGGTTGAGCATGCAAACTTATATATAGTTCCTCACACAAATAAGTTAGCAGTCACCTGTCCCAGTTAACTACAAAAATCCTGCATTGTGGGGTGATGATCCCCAAATTAGCCATGCCCACCATACAGCATGCAGTTATTCTAACTGGTCTTGAGCTCTGCTTGTGGTTGGGAGGACTACAAAACGTAAAACTTAAGAGAGATGGCTGCATGTCATGCAGTAAAAATTCATTTTTACTGTATTGGTAGGAATATATTCAGTGTTTAATTAGCACTTTGAAAATATAAAGTGTTGCATATACATTAATCTTTATTACAGTAAATATTGTTCATCACAGTTAGCAGATGTCTCAGTTACATACCTCTCTGTGTAAAAGCTATAGTGTTCTAAGTTTGTTTCAAATCCCAAACAAGTACTTAATAAACTGTTTGGTACAGAGGTGGAGCACAAAGTGATGCTTTGAGCTCTGTAGTGCTTGCCACTGCAATTCTTACTGCTACTGTGGAGATGTAATGTGGCAAGACTACAGGTCCCAGCTTGCTTTGCCCCATCTTGATCCTAGCTGTAAGCCACTTAAAATGAGATGGAGTATTTTCTGGGACCTAATTGCTGCCCCTGTGTTTTCCTGGTTGTAGTCTTACTTCATTCTATTCTCAGGCCCCTTGGCAATGTTTGTCCTTAGCTGGGCCATGCTCGGGCCTCCTCGATTAGTATATTGAGCCTACTGCATGTTCTTCCTCTTGGTTTACTGGATCAACAAGGAAAGAGAGAGTTGTGATACTGAGGGGGAAAATCTCGCTCCCCTGGGGTACAGAGCCCCCAGAAGGGTCCGAGGCCGGAGGTCAAATCAGTGAGGCAGGAGAGAAACCTAGAAGGGAAAACTTTATGATGCATGCATGCATGCAGGCTGTCACTTCCAAGAGTGAAACAGCAGCCCTGACAGACAGATTCAGTTGTGGATTGTTTTTCTTTAACATATCAAAGTCTCAGCAGAAGCACTCTGAGACTTCTGTTCACCCCAGGAGTGCTAGAAGTAAGTTTTACAGAACAAAGCCATATGAGAATGTGGAGTGGAGAAGTCTACAAGGCAAACTGTGACAAAGATAAGGGTTTACATGACAAATTGTAACAGACTAGGAATATCCATGAACTTGAGATGGGAGGCATTGTAAGGGTCTTGATTAGAGCTAATTTGATTTCTCTCTGTTACAGAGAGAGAGGTCTGGAAAACTTTTAACCCTTACAGCAGTTTTCTTTAGAGAGTTTTGATTTCCTGCACAGTCCCCCCTTTAGACACAATTGGAGTTATTTGATTTTTCTCCCACAATACTAAGGGTCTTTGTTTTTTATTTGTAATAGTTATCTTAAGCTGCTGAAAAATTACTCTTAGGTACCTAGTTTTTATGAGGTCCAGCTCCATGTTCTTTCTTTTTAAAGGAATTGATTGTAGAAAACACTCACCTCTTCAGTTCAGGCTGTTCTCCCAGCTAGGTATATCTTATAGTAGAGGTCCCAAAGTGTGGGTATGACACTCTATGAAGGTGTGGAGCAGCCTTTTGGGAGGCACAGTGAGGAGGGAATACCACCCAACACTTCTCTGCTGCCAGCTCTGCTGCAGTCCTAGCCACATCCTCAGCTTGACTGCACTCCTGACCCTGTACCAGTTCCCAGCCTTGGCTGCTGGCCATGGCTCCATTCCCAGCCTGGGGCCGAGAGTGGAAGCTCTACCATAGGCTAGCTGTGACTCTGTCAGCATGGCCCCAGCCTTGTCCTCCTTTACCATGTCTCAGGCTGCATGAGGGGAGGTTAAGGGGGGCATGTCCCTCTAATTTAGGGACCACTGTCCTACAGGAATACCAGTCCTTCGTGTGAAAGGTAGCATAATGTTTGACTGTGCTTTTCTTTTCACCATTGTGTTTTACAGATACATTCCCACAGCTGCTGCATTTGGTGGCCTTTGCATCGGAGCTCTTTCTGTCCTGGCAGACTTCCTTGGAGCAATTGGGTCTGGAACGGGAATCTTGCTAGCTGTCACTATCATTTATCAGTACTTTGAAATTTTTGTAAAGGAGCAGAGTGAAGTTGGAAGCATGGGAGCTCTTCTCTTCTAAACCTAGCTTCTCATGGACCTAGGAAAGAGAGAGGCATATTCTTGAATTATCCAGTCAGGTGAAAAGAAATAAAACTCGGGCACATCATGCTATAGGAACATGTATTTTAATAATGTTTCCAAAGTGCATTTCCTTTGTTCATTTTTTAGCATATTATTTGTTTTATAAATTGATGGAAAATGTGCAAAAACACTTTTAAAGAAAAACTGTTTATTTTTAATTACTTATTAGGAAAACCAACTTCCTGAATTGGATTAAGTTTGGAAAGTCTTTAATTTTTCATCCCCTTGCTGAAATGCTAGATCTGACGCTTTCAAAGGCTTCAGTAAATAGACGGGGGGAGGGAGGAGGGTTATGTATTGGGATTTTTTTCCATATATTTTGTGTTTGCAGCTCCTCTGCAGTGGATGTGGTGAGAGAAATTTCACCCTCTTATGCTGGAGTTCGTTAATTATGGTTGTAAGCACAATGTTTACTATGTTCAGTTTATATGTTTTTTGGAATATGGTATATTTGGTGAGGCATTTTCTGTGTATTTCCGAAGAGATGTCTTTACTTCCAAATGTCTTGTAAACTAAGCTAGGTTTTGTCAAATGCTGAATATTGGCTCGAGACTGTTGCCTAGTTTCTGTAGAGGTTGGAAATGCTTTCCCTTCTGTAAGCTGAAAACTCAGGTCAGTTTAGGTTTCTCTGTGGGAAGCTATTATTGTGCCTAAGAGTTGTAACCTTATAATTTGGTAATATGGGGAAGCCTTGTAAGTGTTCATCTACCATGGACCACCGTTATTTCTAGCACTGGCACTGAAATTAGTTGGGAATTGAATGTCACATCTTTGGAGGCAAATCTTTTGTCTTTTGTTAAATCCAGACTTCTCTCATTAAAAATAAGTAATACTCTAGTAGCCATGAGGATATCATTGTCTGGTTGCTTTTTTTCCCCTAGTGAACTGTGAGATCCATTGCTACAGAATGCCACAAATTTAATTTACATTTCTGTCCAAAACCTTGTCACTGTCCATGTAGAAGTTAGTTACCCTTTTGTCATCTCCGAAGTATGCTTAAAATGTACCCTTGCTGACTTAAAGTGTGTAGAGAAAACACTTGTCTGGAAACCTATGGCCTCCATTTTTTTCTGAGGACAACTCCAATCAAAATGGAGATTTACCTTTAAAAGGTCTTTAAGAAAAAAAAAAGAAGAAAAATCCTCAACTTCTAACTTTAATTGGTGTTAAGCGCCTTAAATATTGATAAATTCAAACTTTTGTGTACCGAGGCATTCCTTCCTGAGACAGTATTGATCAACTTGGGAATCAGAATGGGAAGTGGTAGTGTTGGAGTGGTTTTTTGTATTGCACCAAAATGACGGTATTTTCTACTCTTATTCTGAAAATGTAAAAGACAGTTTCTGTTTCAGTGAGTGACAGAATCTTTTCTATTACATATTCCTGAGGAAAGTAGAGACAGGGCCCTCTGTAGGCTATGTACCTAAAAACAGAAACGTAAACACTTAAAATGGACAAGGACCTGAATTGGAAAAAAAACAAAAGTGATGGAATAAAGTAGCCATGAATAAATAAAACATTTTAAAAGTCCACTTGTTAATTTCACACTATGCTTGTTCTGTTTTTTATCCAGTGTCTGTTTTGAAATAGCAGCATGTGACAACAAGTTTTTATGTAAAATCTGACCGTTCAGAAGTGATTTTTGAGGGGAGGGGAAAGGGGATGTCTCTTACAAAGGCCAGTCAAGGATATCACTTCTGAGCAAACAGTTCTGGCTGGGTTAGAACTGTACTTGCATTTTCAGTTAGAATTTTTCTTTGAACTGGCTGCAGTTTAGACAAACGATTGAGTTTCTGAGTAGCACTTGTTCTGTGCATCTGTGTATTGTTGCCTAGTGGTGGAACTTGTACATCTTAAGTAGATGTGTTCTGAAGGCAGAATTTGATCATAAAATGGACATTTAGAATAAAAATGAAGAGCTAATGCCTAACAGTCTGCTTTATAATTAAATAAAGTACATCTTTGGAACTAACAGTTGACTTTTAGTGCATTAAATACAGTACCATTGCAAGTGCATGCTTAAAAGACAATGAACGTGAATGTTAAGACTGATGCGTATTAAAGAGTGTACAAAGGTAGTCGCTGCCCCCAGAGAATTTACAATCTATGTATAAAACAGGATTCAGCAGGTGTCTAAAACAAGCAAATAAGTGTCAAGATAGGGACAAAGAGGTAACAAAATGAATATGTAGTAAGTCAAAGTATTGCCTAGTATCTGCATATTACTAAATTTGTCTCTACCAAAGTTCTTTGTAGCATGACCCTGTTATATTAAGTACAACAATTACAATAATCAAGATGTGATGAGTTTCTGACTATTTTCTGCCCTTTCCTCTGAGGTTGCAGGTTTCTGATCTAATGGGGGAAGAAAACATTAGCCTTTTAGAAAGTATCCTTTCCTTCCCCTGAAAATCTTCTCCCGGCTCTTCTGAAGTTCAGTCTGGACTGTGGTTTCTAATACCACTGTAGAGAAGAGATTCTCAAAGTAGTGTGTGCTGCAGAATGGAGCTATGTGCTGTTCAGTACAAGTTAGCAGCTAGAAAAAAGGACATCCGAAAAAAATACTTTTTACGTAATCAACAGTTGCCACAAGAATATTGTGTGATTGCAAATAGGATGAAGTGGCTCACGCAACTCTAGATATAAGGGGAGGTGTCCATAAAGTCTGTTAAAATGTTTTCTATAAATATATCCAAGGAAAATATTAACAACCTCCTGTTGTAGGCAATATTCTAAATGGACTGTGTAGAGATGGGGCCTTGGTACAACTGTAGCTAGCACTATAGAGAATTTATTTGCAAAGCACTTTTCAACTAAGCTTTTGAATAAACTGGGAAGTGTACTATGTTCCTGTCACTGGGACATAAGATGAGATTATGACTTATGCAATAGGCTAGTTCATCAGGGCAAGCTGCCTTAATAAATATGAAATTTTGACTCTACCCTCTGCTTTTCCCACTTGATCTCTCTTTCAATCAATGTGAATAAGCAGTAACACATTTCTGATGGCCCTCTGTTCCCTCCAGCCTCCCAAAAACACATGCAACATTTTGTGCACTGCTGTTTGCTTATTGACATAGTATGACATAATTGACAGATGCTCAGTCTAGGGATGTTAAATGTCATTTAATCAACTCATTGACTAGTCAATGGATTTTCCATTGATTCGTTGATAAGAGGGGGGAGCTGCAGCAGGGTTAGCTCCTGGCACTGTGAACTAACCCCGCTGCAGCTCTGCCTTTTAAAAGTATTAAGAGCCTGCCAGCTCTTAATACATTTAAAAGGCTGGTGTGCAGTTGAGGAGACCTGGTGCAAACCGGGCCAGCTGATTCCTGGCTTGCACCTGGTCTCCCATTGTGCACCAGCCTTAAATGTAAAAATGAAGTACAGTGGGGGCCTGATGCAAGCTGGAAATCAGCTATCCCGGCTTGCACTGGGTCCCCACCACTGCCCACCAGCCTTTTAAATGTATTAAAAGCTGGCAGGCTCTTAATACATTTAAAAGGCTGAGATGCAGCAGAGGGACCCTGTGTGAGCCAGCCCAGCTGATTCCCAGCTCACACCCAGTCCCCACTGTCTTCCATGTCCCCCCGCAGAGACCGTACCAGCTCCCCCCAGCACCGGCTCCTGCTCTCCCCGCCCTTGCTGCCTATCAAGCAGCAAGGGCGAGTGGGAAGCAACTAGTCGAGGGACTAGTTGACTGTCCGATAAGCTTTTGCTTATTGGATAGTTGACTAGTTGCTTACATCCCTAGCTCAGTCAGCTTTGAGTGCCTGGAATTCTAAAACCATTACCTGCTGTCTGAGTATGCTGAGTGAAGTTTATGCCCTTTGAAAGGGCACTGTGGCCCAGTCGATGTAATTGCTGATGGAGGAGGGGGCCTTCACAAGGATATGGAGAAAAGCTAATGAAATTTTGAAGCTCTCATTTGATATGCAGCTTGGACCCTTTACCTTTGGAGTTTCTCTGCCTTTCCCTTTGCCAAATTTGACATGAAATTCTAGACTTTACCTCCTTCCTGCCTAAAAAGGTCACAGTTTGAACTTTGGCCAGAAAGGATCAACATCGCTGGCATCCTCCCAGATGTCCAGGGCTATCTGCAGGTGTTCAAACAATGACTGCTTGTTGAAACTTCTTTTGTTCCTTGAAAGAGGATCTTAGAGTTTATCCAAACATCCCTGCACGACTCTAGAAATGGTAACAGCAGCAGCGTTCCACTGGGGGGTGCTGTTTTACTGCAGTTCAAGGCACTAGTTCCTTCATGTTGAAAAAGCTGTTAAAACTTACAGGTGTAATTGCTTTTTTGCTTGCTTTTTATTTCCATGTGCTGCACTGATGCACCGTAGAGGGTGAAATATATGGAACAGTGTTATGAAATATATTGGCATAATCCCTAGAATCATAATTGAGGCCCCACCACAGGGAACTGTACAAATGCATAAAATTATAGTTCTAGTTTTAGTACTTATCTACAAAAGTATTTGGGCTATACAATGTGTGTGCCATGGAGACTGCAGCTGTCAGTGTCACTTTATCTGCTGAACATTGCCACACAATCTGTAGGAGATTGACACTTGGATTGGGACAATTTTTACAGGATTTATAAAACACCATTAAACAAAATTCGAGGGGGGAGAACAGTTTTAAAAAGAAAACAAAAATATGTTCTATGTTGGGATCCTAATTAGACAGCAAGACTTTGTTTCCATTTCACAATATGAGGGCAGGTTGATCTACTAAAATGAGGCGGAGATCTAGGGTCAGGTCTCTTGTTGATGCCCTGGCTGTTACAAATATCATGCTAGCCAAGTTGGCAGCACTTGGTAGAAAGGAATATCATGGCAATTGGCACGTCTCTTGCCATTACTAGAGAGAGACCAGGCACTGCATGGGAACAGAGACTGCCATGCCTTATCACCATGGGATCAATGCTTATGAATCTCAAAAATGGGACAAAGGTGATTAGGAATAGAAAGGGTAAGGAAGTCTTTTGGGGGCATCTGAATGTACTAGCATTTTAAAAAACCAGAAGGAATACCATTGGGAGATATCTATAAAAGCTGCTGCATTGTTTCAGTGGAAGAAGGGTGACCTGTATGTATCCTGACCAGCCCCCTGTCATGTATGCTCTGAACAAGCTGAAGCTGCTAATTCCCACATATGAAGTGAGCACTGGCTCACTTGGGGGAATACCCTAGCCATCTGAAACCTGAAACATCCATTGTTAATGTTGTGCCTTTAGTCATTTGTTAGTTTATAGACCTGGCAGCTGTGCTTTTTGTGGTATCAGAAGACACTGCAGGTTTTCCTAAATATCTCCTTCTGGGTAAAGAAGAGCCACTTCTTAAAGCTTTTCAGCTTTCTTCTGATTTGTTTAGTGCTGTCCATTTCTTGAGTAGTCTAAGCTAATGGGAACAGGCCAGAATTTGTAATAAACTTTTTCTTCTTAAATGATCAGGCCAGTAATGGTTTAATGATGGATCATGGCCTTAGACAACTTCCTGCAGTTGAGAGATATAAACCATTCTATTTTCATTTGGCGTCAAGCTCTTGTATTTGATTTTTGCAATGGCTGCCAGGCTGCTTCAATGATTGCTTGGGCCAAGTTGATGGGGAGGTGGGGACAAGCTCTTTACTTCTTGAGAGACATATTGAAGACAGCAATTTTAGTGTAGGGCAAGAGAAAAGGTTAATTTGTCACTGGAAGGGACTGTGCCAATAAATGATCAAGAGTAAGTAGTGTTCCTTTGTTTAAAACCACTTCCCCACTCTCCCTTGATAAGGGAAAGGGAAGTAAGGCTAAGCAGTTTGTGTTTAGTCTGGAGACACAGAGGGTGATTGTGACCGGCCCAGCTGTTATAACCTCTCTGTTTAAAGGAAAAATTGAGTCATTAGTTCGATTGCCCTAAGCTGAATTTTCAACATATTTTAAAGAAAGAGCTGGGTGTATTTTGATATCTCCCTAACTATAAATCATGCTGCTGCTTCCCAATGGGAGCTGCCATTTTACAGTAGCTTCCCTCCAAGGAAGTTCAATCTACCAGGATTGCCTGACAAAGGAAGGTGATGCTCAGCATTTCAGCAGGTAAAAGGCTGAAGACTGTTTTTATAGTTTTGAGAGTTTTACTACTTATTGCAGAACTGAAAGTTTGGTACTTTTTTTTCTTATCTAATTCCATGTAAATCATACATACCTCCCTGGAAGTCAGCAGTGTAAAATGGATATAGGAGAACTAGACCATGGACACAGGAAGCATGTAAATATTTTTCATTTAAAATCAATCCAAAAGTAAGTCACCGAGCTTACTTACAGCTGTGACTGTCTTCGGCCTACGCCATGCACCTGAATGCTTGTTTCAAAACTGTGGAGCAACTTCCGTTTGCCTTGTGTGTATGATCCCAGAGACTTTAATGGGGCCACTTCTATGAACAGAGCAAATGGGAGTTGCTCCATGTCTACAGATAGGCAAGAAACAGGTTTCCTGTCATTGGTAACTTAGGAGTAGCATGGGTGATATGAGGCGATTTATTGTACGTTTTCTTGCCTCAGTCTCCAATTTGTAAAATAGGGAGTCTTACAGAGAAGAAGGAGCCCTAAAGATTTAATCACTTCAGGTGAAATTCTGGCCATATTAAATTCAATGGCATGTGGCCACCAACTTCAGTGGGGCCAGTATTTCTCCCTTCGTGGGTGAAGCTGAGAGAGGCTTCATAGCAAGATACAAGAAAAAGGCAAAGATGGGGAAGAGGTTGCTTTTAAATTTACATATTTACACTTTTACAACTAAACTTGGCTCTATCAACTCAAATTTGGAAGTAATAAATCATTTTCTTTTCTCATGTAATCTTACTAAGCTAAGTTTTAAAACATTCTGTGGAAAAGAAGTTTCAGAATTAATCCTCTGTAGAGAACCCATCCTCTGGAGGCCAAGGGTGCATGTGTAAATGGGGCTTTTCTAGATGGGTCCTGGC